GGAGCAGAAGTTTGACACGGGAGGGTTCTTCCATCTGGCAGGGAAGAGGAAGAACACACGCCAAAGCTGTTGGCCAACAGAGACGTGTGGAACTGGGAAACAGCGCATTCTTTACAGGGGAGGTAATTAATGGAGCCGCTCATTAAAGCATTGGCAGGCTCAGTACTGACAGTCAGAACTGGGACTCCAGGCCTTTTCTAGAAGGGATTTTTCTTCAAATATGAGTCATTTCAGTGCTGTTCTGCAATGTTTTCTTCACAATCAGACCTGCTTTGGAACACTGGGTTGAAGTGTGGCCTTAGGAACTGGGGAGCTGGAGCTGAGCACGATGGTCCTGCAGGTGCCACACCTGGGAAGGCAGAGTCCTCCAGTGATGGCTTCTGGGCAAACAGGTCACACAGGTCTTTACTCCATCTCTAAGTGAGGGAATCCTCTGGAGCTCTCGCTTAGTCCGTCTGTGGTTGCAACCAAGTCCTCACCCCATAACAGGCTGGGAGACCTGGGGGTGTCCAGCCTGGAGAAGCATCCAGGAAGTACTTAGAGCCCCTTCCACTGCCTAAGGGGGCTCCAGGAGAGCTGGAGAGGGACTCTGGACAACGGATGGAGGAACAGGACACAGGCACCTGTGCCAGAGGGCAGGGGTAGGTGTGATACTGGGAAGGAATTGTTCCCTGTGAGGGTGGTGTGGCTGCCCCTGGATCCCTGGAAGTGCCCAAGGCCAGGTTGGACACTGCGGCTTGGAGCAACCTGGGACAGTGGTAGGTGTCCCTGCCATGGCAGGGGTGGCACTGGATGTGCTTTAAGCCCCCTGCCCACTCAGACTGCTCTGGGATCCCATGACAGGTTAGGTTTTCTCTCACCTCACTCTCCTGATCCCACACAGGTGAGCAGTTCCCAGTGCCACAACAGGAGCTCTTGGTCACTCAGAGCTGGATTGACCCTTGATCATACATCAATTTCTGTTGTGATCTTTCACATTTCTTACACCTGGCACCAGCAGGTGTCTTTACACCGCTGGCCATCGTGTACTTGGAATTCACAGGCACAGGAACAGCATTTCCGAATCAACCCCTTCACCCTTCCTTGGTAAGAAAGGTGGGAAAACCAAAATATTGGTGTTGTTTCAGGGCTGCAAGTTGAAGCTGTGTTGGCCCTGCCTGGGCTGTTTGCAGTTAACAGCTTCTGTGTGAGTGTGAACACCCAAGAGCCACTCACGAGGTGACCTGCGCTCCCCCCACACGCAGCGGGTGCCAAGAGGCTGCACCTCGCCAAGTGTTTACAGTAATCCTTGGCAGGGACCCAGGGCTCCAACAAAGACATCTGCTAATCTGCACAGAAGAGCTTTCAGGAAAGAGAAGCTTGAGGATTTCAGGGAAACTCTGCTCCCAGCCAGGCTCTGCGTGTCACAAACTTGTCTGTCCCGGCTGGAGAAGCCCACCTGAGTCTCCCGAGACTGGGATTTGTCTCAGACAGCAGTTCCCAATAGGTTCCCTCTCTTGGATTAATTATTCTGCAGTGCTCGTGGCCTCTGTCCTCGTTCCTGGAGCCTCCTGGCTGTGCTGGGATCAAAGGGGATCCTTGTGAGACATCCACGTGGGACCTGAGCAGGGCCAGGAGTTCAATGACTGAGCAGAGCTGCCCTCACCTCCACAAATCACGAGGCTGAGGGAAAATGGGACAAGGAATGAGGTGCTGGCGAGAACCTGGCAGCAGAACAAAGCCTGATCCGGCTGCCATGGACCTCAGCCACACTGTCTGTCCCCATCAGAGCCAGGTGCCAGGTGCTGTATGGAGTTTGGGGCACACCAAGGGGAGATTTCCTCTGTGCCAAACCAGGCAGGTGTAGCCCTTCTGCCCCAATTCAAACTCCCTCTTTGGAAATATCCATCCATATTTTTACAACTTTGAGAGAAATAAGTCTATTTCCCAGGAAATGAGCTCAATATCCAGACAGACCTGAAGTTTTAAGGTGCTCAAAATTCAGACAGATTTGAAGCTTTAAGGGCTTTTCTTCTCTGACGGGTGCAGTCTGCTTCCTGCATGGTGCCTTGGCAGTCCCGTCTCCTGGGCAGAGTCCTGTTTGGACCCCATGACGTTGGAGAGAGGATAAAGCCTTTCCTGCTGAATCCCAGCTGGCTCCTGCACAGCTCCTCTCCCTCTGGAGGAGGGAGGCTCTCAGTGTCGGGCTGGGAAATCACATGCTCCATGGCTTCAACATGAGGTAATTGTTTTTGGAAGAGACCTGGGCGCTGCTTGGGTTTGCTGGTTTGTCAGGCACACACGGATGTGGGGCAGGGGCGTGAGTGACCAGGACCAGCCCAGCCTCCCCCAGGCACTGCTGGGTGCAAATATCCAAATTCTCATTTGCAACGTCAATAATTCCTGCAGAAATGGCTGAGAGGGGCTGGTAGGTGCAGTGCCACTGGGGGATCCCCCCATGGGGGTCAGAGGGACCTTTGAGGTCCCCTGTGCATTTATCCCCAAACCAGGAGCTACCATGGGGGCGGCAGCAGGCACAGGGAGTGGTTTCAGCTCCAGAAGGTTCTGCTGGGGAGTCCTTGCTCTGATGCCAGTTGGTGCCAAGGTGCTTTGCCAGATGATCTTTGATCTACCCCATTAATGGGTCTGATTCGAGCTGCCTCATTAATGAGCATTTTAATGTCAAAGAACATGAACTGGGGCACAGCCCCCATCCATCTCTGCCCACAGCTCCCAGGGTGTTGGACAGATTTGTCCTCACCTGCTTGAGATGTGACACAGGGAAGCATGTCCAGGACAGCCACCTGCCATCCTTCACCTCTGTCTGGCCCAGAGCCAGAGCCTTGCAGTGTCCAGAAATTCAATATCCAGCCACCAAATGAACCTGCAGTAGCTGAATTAGCACTGCCAGCTCCAACTGACCTGTGGTTACGAGCTGGAGTGGAGACAGTCTCAGAAGCTTGGCAGATTTTCCAGCACCATCCTGCCCAAATCTTCCTTAAGGATCACAGAATCATAGAAATACTTCAGTCGGAAAAGCCCTCTAAGATTGAGTCCAACTGTTCCCCCAGCACTTCCAAGCCCACCACCAACCCATGCCCCCATATGCCACATTCACACACCTTTTACGTCACTCCAAACATGGTGACTCTGCCCCTGCCCTGGGCAGGCTGTACCAGGGCTGGACAACTTTTCCATTATTAAATTTTCCCCAATATCCAACCTGATCCTTCCCTGGCACAACTTGAGGCTGTTTCTTTTTGTCCTGTCCCTTTTTCCCTGGGAGCAGAGCCTGACCCTCCTCCACAGCTGTCCCCTCCTGTCAGGAGCTGTGCAGAGCCAGAAGGGTCCCCTGAGCCTCCTTTTCTCCAGGCTGAGCCCCCCCAGATCCTTCAGCTGCTTCTGGTGCTCCCTTCCCCAGCTCCATTCCTTTCTCTGGAATGTTTTCCCTGGAAGGTGAACCCTCTAGAGTTCTTTAAGGAAAACTCAAGGTATCCCTTGGACAAGTCCTTGTGCCACGTGCAGGTTGGAATGGTCACAGCACAGGTGATTCAAGGATCAGGCTCCCAGACCAGCTCATGAATTGAACACCCCCCAGTGAGTGATGCTGCAGGAAGGTGGGGAGAAGATCCACCCCAATGGCTGCAGCTGTTTGCAGGTATTTGCTGCAACCTTCACTCTTAACTGGACAAATACAGAACTGGTAATGGAGATGCTGTTCCCAGTGCCCAGGAGCTGAGGGCACAGTCCTAAAAACTGTATCACTGGCAAAAGTGATCTCTGAATTTTTGAAAATCCCCTGTGCAGCTTTGGTGAGACAGGCAGTGAAATTTTGCATCCTGCTGAAGGAACATGGGTCAATGCATGTGGCTCCAGGTGACACAGCCCTATCCAGGCTCCTTACCCAGCTGTCTATGAATGCCTCTGGAAGGGGGGGAGGGGAGAATAAGTGTCCCATGAGCAGGAGAGGATGAAAGATTCTCCTCAGACCTGTTTGTCTTAAGACATCGATTTCTTATTTTTTTAGAAGTGATTTTTTAAAGTGTGTATTTACATTCATTAACCTCACAAGGTAGGAACTGCTTCTATCTAATACGAGAGTGTATGCCCTTATCTATGACAATTCTTTGATCTGTTAAGACATGTCTGAGCCCAGTGTACAGAGATGAGAATCAAGTCCCCGTCTAAACTTGGCAAAGCAGCAGCTTTTCCCCGTGATGTTGCAAGAGCATCTTGGGATCCCGTTGATGAATGAGCTCTTTTTGTGTCTGGCGTTACATGAGCCAAACCGGAGTTCGGAGTTCGTCTCTGAGTCAAACCAGTGACAGTGTAACACGACACGGGCAGGGAGGGGACACAACCGGCAGCTTATCCGCTGCAATTCCATGTTGTGGCAGGAACCTTTTATTTTAATGCAGAAATTACTGTGGGAGACAGTCAAGCTGAGACAGACACTTAATTTTGATGGAGTTAAAGTGGATTCAATGAGCCTTTCCTGCTTTTTGTGTCAGCCTGGATTTGCCTCCTTCCCCCTCCTGGCTGTTGGAACTGGTGTTTCTGTTGTTAAAACAAATGTCCTCTAACATCAGAATCTCCACTGGAGAACACAATCAAGTCACTGCTTAACCTTTTCTTAGTTATGTTCAGTCTAGAATCACAGGATGGTTTGGCTGCAAGGGACGTTAAAGATCATCTTGTTCCCACTCCCCACCATGGGCAGTGACACCTTCCACTCCTGCCTTGAGCAATTCCAGGGATCCAGGGGCAGCCACAGTTGTTCTGGGCACCCTGTGCCAGGGTTTTCCCACTAATTTCATCCCAATATCCCATCTACCCTGACAGCGGGAAGCCATTCTCCCTTGTCCTTGACCCAAGTCCCTCTCCAGCTCTCCTGGAGGCTCTTTAAGCACTGGAAGGGGCTCTAAGGTTTCACTGGAGCCTCCTCATCTCCAGGCTGAACACCCCCAGTTCTGCCAGCCTGACTCCACACCTGAAGACTTCAGATTTGTAACAGTCTGAGCTGACTCTTTCCTCCATTTATTAAGTTACCAACAATTCAGGCAACCTCCTGATGACAGATGGCAATATTTTTCTGACCAAGAACTCCCGGGGGAGGGGAGGAGTGTCTAACCAGAAGGACATGGGCTTAGGACAGCAGAAGCCCTGCGGGAATGGGCTGGTTCAGCCTTGAAGCCAATGCTGTGTCCTCTGCAGAGTGTGAATTTGCTTGTCTGGAGACCCAGCAGATTCACCACGGGGGTCCTTGCTGTGTTTTTCCAGCCCATTACTGTTTTGTTGCTCTTGCTACTGAGTTCCTCGGGTGAGCAGCACAGCCTGTGAACACAAACACCTCAGCTTTGGAAAGCTGGGAACAGGGAAAGGTGAGACTTCATCTGAGTCTGCTGTGAGAAATCAATAGCTGTACTCTGGGTAAAGCTCAGCTGGGCTGAACTGGAATTTTGGGCTGGAATCATGCAGCTTTAACGCTTTAGAGGCATGGAACTGGGACATTTATGGTCCTTTCCAAGCCAAACCATTCTGCAATTCTGTGATTCTCCACAGGCTCACACAGCCCTGAGCTTTCCCTGGAAGCAGGACAGGTCATGGAATCACCTCTCTGCTACACACACTGCTCCCACCACCAGCTCTCATCTGTGCTACCACTGTCAATGGCAGAATGTCACACGTGAGCTCCAGAGAGCAAGTGGAGGAATCCAAAGGCTCCAAAGGCTGAGACATCACAGCCACCTGACAGGTACTGACTGTGCTGAAATGTGCCTGGGCTGTGCCACGGAATCACGAGATTTGGGTTGGAAGGGACCTCTGCAGGGCATGGCACAGCCTTTGCATGGACAGTTTTTGGTAGTGAGGGGCTACAGGGGTGGCTTCTGTGAGAAGCTGCTGGAAGCTTCCCCCATGTCCAGCAGAGCCAATGCCAGAGGTCTGCTTGTGGCCAAGGCTGAGCCCACTAATGATGGTGGCAGCACCTCTGGGAAAACAGAGATAAGAAGCAGGGAAAAATATCCACCTGCAGAACAGCAGCCAGAGAGGAGTGGGAACAATGAGAGGAAGAGCTCGGCAGATCCCCAGGGCAGAGGAGAAGGAGGAGTGTTAGTTTTTGCAACCTAATATTAATTGTGGTTCTCCTGCCTTCAGCCCTGATGGATCTGTCTGTGTCTATCTCCCTAGTGACCCCACATCTTGCTGTCAAACCTGGTAAAGGAAATCGTTCTCCTTTTTAGGCTCCAGGAGGAAGAATGGCTTCTTGTAGGCTCCTGCAGATGGGATTACTTTGGACATGTTGCCCGTGTTCCATGACCATCTCTGGGCCTCTGAATGTATTTCTCTCCATCTCTCTTCACAAATAACAGCAGGAATGAGGACCACACCAAGCTGGGCTCCTTCCACCAAGATCATCCTTCTCCTGGGAAGTTAAAAATTAATCATAAAGAGGGAGTTAAAGCTCTGAGGTTTGTGAGGGATTTCTGTCTATGGGCAGGGAGATCACTGGGAAATAAAGGGAGGGATGGATGGTGGATGGACGGTGAATGGATGATGGATGGACCTATGACTTTAACAGCAGGAGATCAACAGAGTTGAGGGAGAGAGCATCAAGGGAGGTGTCACTGAACTAAGGAGCTGTGTGGGAGGCTGGGGACATCAGGAGAGAGACAGGATACCCAGAGTCAACACTGAGTAAATCTCTGGAGTTGGAATGTCTCTAGCAGGACTGTAGATGGGAGGAAGAGAAAAGCCTTTGCTTTTCTGTTTTTCTGTTTCTCATTAGCCCTTCCCACCACAGATGAGAAACAGGAGAAAAATTGTGAGTATTTCCAACATTATCTCATATTTCCAATCAGAGAAAATTAGTGACTGGCATTAGAACTGTAAACAGTGCCAGTGAGGTCCCAGGTGGTGGCAGAGCAGTTCGGGCAGCCTGGAGTGGGACAGGAACCTGGGAACGGGATGTAGCAGCCAGGTAAAGAAATCTGCTCGAGGATACGGAGGATACCACGTCCCTTGGGCAGCTCCAGAGGCTGGGATGAAAGGAGACATTCCAGAAGGGAAAACTGCTCAACAGCTGCCGACAGCCCTCGGGATTTCCTCTGCTCTTGCTCCACTCCGCTGGGCCCGTGCCCAGGCAGGGAGCGAGTCCTGCTGCCCACCCTGTGCCCACCCTGTGCGAGGGCTCGGAGCATCCCAGCCGGGCAGGAGGTTGAGCAGGGATTCCAAGAAGCTGGGGCAGGTTTTCCCGACACGGTGAGAGGCTGTGCACAAGCAGGGGACCCCGCACACCCGGCAGACACGGAATTCAGGATGTTTTGCAACAACATCCCACATTCTGGCACTGGACAGCGACTGCGGAGCTGAAATGCCTGGAGCTGTGTGGGCTCCGTCCCATGCTGTTTGTCCATCTGAGATTTGTTCCAAAGCCCACATCTGCAGTGCTGGGAGCAGAGGGGTTCCCAACGCCTTGTCCTGGAGCCAGCCCTGCTGCCTCACCACAGTGTGAGCAGGGGATGAGGGCTGAGCTCAGCCTGACCAGGAAGGGACCAGCAGTGAGAGGGACAGTGGGCTCTGGTCATGGTGCCTGAAGCCCCACAGACGCAGCCGGGTCTGACACCCAGGTCACCCCAAACTGCCCAAAGTCGCCTCCTTCAGCCCCTTTGCTCCAGGTAACGCCAGCCCTGCACACCTATCCCTGGGATCCTGTAAACCATGGAATCTCAGAATGCTTTAGGTGGGAAGGGACCTGAAACACCACCCAGTCCCATGCCCTGCCATGGCAGGGACAACTTCCACTATCCCAGGTGGCTCTAAGCCCCACCCAACCTGGCCTTGGACACTTCCAGGGATCCAGGGGCAGCTACAGCTTCTCTGGGCAACATTGGCCAGGGCCTCAGCACCCTCACAGGGAGGAATTCCTTCCCAATATGCCATCTATCCCTGCCCTCTGGCTGTGGGAAGCCATTCCCCCTTGTCCTGTCCCTCCATCCCTTGTCCTAAGTCCCTCTCTAACTCTCCTGGAGACCCTTTAGGCACTGGAAGGGACCCTGAGCTCTCCCTGGATCCTTCTCCTCTTCAGGCTGAACCACAGCTCTCTCAGTCTGTGCTCACAGGAGAGGTGTTCCAGCCTGTGGCTTCATTGTCCAGCAATAATCAGTCCCAGTATGATGACAAAGTCTTGTCTAAGATGCAGGAGCACAGATGTGATGTTGTTCACCTTCCTGCCCTCCCTCTGGACTGAGGACAGAGAGAAATGGACATGAAATGGTAATTTATTAATACATTGGGTCATTATTGGTCATATGTATTTATATAAATGGTCATATTTGGACATATATATGGATAACCATTCATATATATAAATGACCATTTATTCATATATTATAGTTCCCTGGAAGGTTGGATAGGGCTTTCAGCAATGTGGGATAGTGGGAGGTGTTTCTGCCCATGGCAGAAGGGTAGAATGAGATGTTTTTAAAGTCCCTTCCAACACAAACTATTCCATGGTTCTATGATTTACAGAGTACTGCAATTTGGGGAAGAGGAGACTCTGAAACCCAAGTAAACCACTCAATTTGTGTCCTCATCCTGTGGCCTTTAAAAATTGCTAACTGGATTAATTCTTGCAATCAAACCTGCCTGTTCCCAGCCTGCCCAGCGAGTGACGTGTTCTGCTGTGGAAGGAACAAACCAGATGCAGGGAATAAACCCAGTGCTGCCCAACACGAGAGCCCTGCAAAACTGGGACGCTGCAGCCAGGTAAGGATCAGTCTCTTCTCCCAGGTAACAAGTGATGGGACAAGAGGAATGGCCTCAGGTTGTAGCAGGGGAGGTTTGGGTTGGATATTAGGGAAAAGCTATTCCCAGAAAGGGCTGTCTAGCCTTGGCACAGCCTGCCCAGGACATGTGGCCGTGGCACTTCATGCCATGCTTCAGTGGTGACCATGGTAGTGGTGCAGGGTTGATGGTTGGACTTGATGATCCTAAAGGTCTTTTCTGACATGAATGATTCTGTGATTTTGTGAAGTGCTGCCATAACCCTGCAGTGGAAGCTCAGCTTGCTCAGCTGAAACATAAAGCCAAATTCCTTTTTCCAGGTGTCTTGCTTGCAACAAGCTGTGGGTTATTTTGGAATGACCTGCACAGCTCAGCTTGGAATCCCAGCAAGCCAGGGTGGCTTTTGGACCCTGCCTGGCACTTCTCAGCTCAGCTGCGTACATTAGCAGCAAACTTTTTATCTGCTCATGGTGAAACCACAGTAGGATATGACCAGAGCAGCTATCTAGGGACAAAGTCCTCTTTGTACACAGAGCAAAACCTGCAGGGAATGCCAGCACTGGCCTCTCCTGCTGCTGAAATACTCCATGGAGTATGAAAACTCCATAAATACTGTGCACAGGCATCTCCATTGACTTCCCAACCCTGATCTCTACACATCAGCAAAGATGAAGTCCTTTGAGATGCTGGTCACAAAATCCAGCACGCTTTTCCCTCCCAAAAGGACATAGATCAAAGTGCTAATGAGTAAATGTTGTACTTGGGACATGTTTTTTTACAAATGGGTACAAAGAGTTTAATTAGAACCAGCTCCCTGGGAGGAAAGTATTGCCCTTTTTGGATTAAGAGTCACCAGTTAAAAAAAGAGTATTCAATTAAATAGAAATATCAGCTTCTCAGCTTCTCACAATTCATGAGCCTGATGAATCTACAAACTATATATTAACAATTCTTTTTAAAAAAGCAGTATTTGAATTTTTCATTTACTGCTTAATTATCAGAACTGGGGCTTTAAAGGAGAACCACCACATGCCTATTGTAATATTCTGACAAAGATTTGGGGCTTATTCTCTAATACACTCCTAAGTATCTGAGGTGAGTGACATCTGTTTCTGGTGCAACCTGTGACTCCCAGAAAAGTGATTTTTAGGGAGCTGAGTTTGGAAAGCTGTTAAGATGTAGGATAGAAAGCCATTAAGGAATCATCACAATCAGAGAAATCCTGCAATCTACAAGAAAAAGAATGCTCAAATTTCCTAAAACTGAGCACTCATGACCCAATATCAGAGGCTACTTTTAATAATCTCAGCTTTGTCTTCCCAGTGCTCATTTCTTTGATAAAGGCAGGGCCAGTACCTCTGCAGCAGAATCTGATCAAGACAGCTCCACATAAGTCGGTCAGAGGAGCTCTGAAATCCCCAGCTGAGCTCACAGCAGAGAGGGAAAATCAATGTTTACTTGATCGTCCTGCCCATAAATGAGCAGCCACGAGGAGCTGTGGCCCTGCTCCTGTGCCTGCTGCTGCTCCCGACAGGACACGCAGCAGGGGAGCCCTGCCTGCCTTGTGTTTCCTGGCGATAGCCCTGCACCAGAGCCGAAAGCAGAACTTGCTCAGGAACACAAGCAGCTGCATCGTGTTTTGGCAAAGACAAGAGGAAGCTGTGCAGCAGCGTATTCCCTGCAGGGCAAATCTCTGATTAATTGGAACTGCTTGGCATTTAGAAGAGCTGATGAAAAACTTTGGGAAGCCATTGAGGCATTTTCACTGGCACAAGCACTTTGGGAGGGAACACATTTATGTCATGGAACTGAGATCAGAATCGGAATCAAACCCATTCTATAAAAACCTGAATTTGTTTGTTTTCATATCCCCCACCCCAGGGAGATGAAAGCAGCCCATTTCCAATGATAGGATTCCTTTCTCTTATGGAGCCATGAATATCCCAAGACATTCTCTCATAGAATCATGGAATATCCCAAGTTTGAAGGGACCCCCAAGAATCATCCAGTCCAGCCCGTGGCCCTGCACAGACACTCCAGCAATTCCACCCTGTGCATCCCTGGGAGCGTTGCCTAAACCCTCCTGCAGCTCTGGCAGCCTCGGGGCTGTGCCCATTTTCTGAGGAGCCTGGGCAGTGCCCAGCACCCTCTGGGGGGAAGAGGTTTCTCCTGAACTCAACCTAAGCCTCCCAGGCACAGTTTCACATTAACCCTCTCTGCAAAGTCTTTTAAGCAGCAAACACTCACATGCCAACATCACACACTTTTAAAACCTTGGGCTGCATTGCCTGCAGAGGAGCAGCAGCAGCACTGGGCTGCTCTGATAATTGTGCTCTTGACTTGCCCTGACACACACCTTGCTTGAGGTGAGGTTATGCAAGGGGAAGAGATAAGATGACCCACTCATTTTAAAATCTACCCATCTAGGTGACTTCAGCTCTTTCTCAATAGGAAAAATACAAACATTACAAACCTACGCCCATTGAGACATATGTATACAGAGAGAGAGGATATTTAGATATTTCTATAGTATATTTATGAAACATCAGCACCCCAGCACTTCAGTCAGTGCATCTGACAAACACAGAGCCTAATGGTTCAATTTCTATTATATGTCTTTAGTCTTTATTTTATCTATCTATCTATCTATCTATCTATCTATCTATCTATCTATCTATCTATCTATCTATCTATCTATCTCATATATGACCTTTAAGGTCTCTTCCAAGCTAAACCATTCTCTGATTCTATTATAAGGAAGAAATTGTTCCCTGTGGGAAGGGCCTGGCACAGGATGCCCAGAGAAGCTGTGGTTGCCCCTGGATCCCTGGAAGTGTCCAAGGCAAGGCTGGACAAGGCCTGGAGCACCCTGGGATAGTGGAAGGTGTCCCTGTCTATGGCAAGGGGTGGAAGTGGATGGGCTTTTCATGTCATTTCAGGTTTCCATCCCAGACTATTCCATTACTCTGTGATTTATATACACAACATGTAAAGAACAAGAGAGAAGCAGTTACCATTTGTGTTATATGGGAATGAAACCAAGGAACTAAGAAATTTGTCAAGGATCATAAATCAGTTGCAGAATGAAAAATTAAAGCAAACTAACTTTAGTACTTCTTTGGTTTGGACAGGAAAGTGCTCCAAGATCAATTGATAAGAGTGGAATAAAGCACTAATATTCCTAAAGCAACATCTTCACTCTGTGGTGTGCAAACAGCTGGAAGAAGTGAGTTTTCCAGTTTAACTGCAGTAATTCTGTGTGCAATTCCCCTCCTGTTTCCTTTCCAGCAGGCCACAGCAGCTCGCAGACTGCAGCACAAGTCTGTCCCACAAACTCCTTACCTTGTGTTCACTCAAGGGTTAAGGAGTTTTCAAGTTACAAAGCCTTGTGTCTTGTGTGGGAGTAAATGTCATATCCCACTGCACAGGATATTTGTAGCACAGCACTATCTGGGAAGTGAAACTTTTGAATGGTGAAGTTTTCAAGCAGTTGCTTCAGGATGAATTTCTGAAGAACGGAACGGCCGAGAGCCCATTTGTCACTCTGGCTCAAGGTGGCTCCAAAAGTCACAGTGAGAGAAGCAGGGTCTGAGTGGAACCATCTCGGGTCTGAGAGTTCCAGCTCCAATCACAGGGAGGGTTTGTGCAGCTGGCACATCAATCCCATGTCCCCACAGGAGGACGGAGCACTGCTCTGTCATCATCACCACAGTACGTGCTGGAGGAGCTCTTCTCATGGATCAGGTACCCGATGTTCCCTGTGAGGGTCACCTCCACACAGGTTCTCCAGTGTAGTGCCATGGCCAGACACCAAACTCCAACACAACCTGAAGGAGGGGAGGCCTTGACCCAAGAGCAGAGACTCTGGGAATGCCAGCACATAAGGCATGGTGGCTCCCATCCCTCCTGTGCTCCTAGCTCAGCAGCACCCATGAGTGCTGGACCACAGCTCCCAGGAGAGGGATTAGGACAAGACAGCAGGGACTGGAGTGGCAGTGGGACAATGTGGTCAGAATTCTCCTTTGTTAAAATGGTGACATGGGATTGGTGGGATGATGCTGGAGATGAGCCAAGGTGGAATGAGCTGTCTCCATCTCTGGATCCAGACAGAAGCTGCCAAAGCACTGCCTAGCTCAAGTCCTTGTATTGTAACTTGCTGCTCTTGGCTCACACACACACAATGAACACCAAACGTGGAGTAACAGATCGGGAGCTCCCAGCTAAGAGCTTTTCCTGATCAGTGGTCCCAGAGTGGACCATAATCAATGAACACAGGAACAAAAGGTTTCTGTGAGGCCGTGGGTGCTCTCTGAACTGTAACTGCAATCACAGAAGTAGGTCTAGACACTACTGGGGCACCCGAAATGAGAACACCGCATATTTTGCAGCAATTATTAATGCAGCTATTTGTGCTAACTCTTCAAACCAAGTACAGATACGCCCCGCGCTGTTTCCATAAACAGGAGCACAGCTGTATTTGCATTCTCTCCATGTGTGCTGGTGCTCAGAGCTACTTGTGCCTTTGATTGCCGCAACAGAAACCCGAGCCAGCCGTAGGAGCCCCCGGAACCAGGACGGAGGGGCAGAGCAGAGCCGGGAGGGGCAGAGCAGAGCCGGGCCCAGCGCCGGTGGGTGGGACAGGCGGTGCTCTCACCCTGCTCCAAGCACTGCTGGGGCTGCAGAAGAGTCGGGAGCTCCGGGTGGTCAGGACGTGCTCCTGCTGCTCCCAGCTGAAGAGCTCTGCCCATCTCTGAGCTGTACCTGTGCCGTGACCGCGGCTCGCTGACTGCAGCGTCATGGTTACACCAATCAAAACTTCATTCGTGCCTTCAAGGCATTCTTTACAGCTCCAAGAGTGACAAACTTCTCTGCCAGTAACACTGAGACCACTGATTCATTTCGCACAATTTAACCACAAGAGAAAAGCAGTGTTCTGGATTTCAGTGTTGAACCTGGGCTTGTGACAAGCTCCAGATGTGCTTTTCTCAGTCTTGTCCCCCTACTTTCTTCCCTCATCCCCAACAACTACAGAACATGACTCCAATGGAAAGTGTGGCTTGTTCAAACCCACAACATGGGTATTAAGGTCTTTTATATTTTGTCAAAGCTTTATTTGCTCTTCTTTCCACTGTGATAAAAATATCAAGGTAATAAACTCCTAAATGCAACACCACAATCACCTCCAAGTACTCTGGCAAAAATAACCTCAGGCTTTTAAAGACAAATTATGTCAAATGTGAGCAGCTATTATCACAACTCCTGCCTCACTTCAAAGTTTCTTTCAGCTTGAATCAGGAAGAAATGCTCCCCTAGGAGGGAGTTGAGACCCTGGCATAAGGGAGAAGCTGTGGCTGCCCCTGGATCTTTGGAAGTGTCCAAGGCCAGGTTGGATGAGGCTTGCTGCACCCTGGGAAAATGGAATGTGTTCCTGCCCATAGCAGAGGAACTTTCAGGTCCCTCCCCACCCAAACCAGTCTCTGGCTTTGTAAGGATGCTTCTTTACTCAGGGATGTTGGAAGATCGTGTGAATCCCAGGCTCTGTGACTCTAACACATTCTGCCCAAACATGAGAGCACACAGAACATGAACCCAAAACTCAACTCTCTCCATACACCCAGAGCTGCTCCAGGGAGGACTGAAAACCACCTTCATCTACCAGCGCTCTCCCTGGAGGGCTGAGCTGATGAGAGCAACCTCACTCCCCGTATCTTCCATGCACATTTTAACCAATTCCACAATTCCCGGAGTAGCCTACAGAAAATCCTGTCGACTACAACACATGAGGTATGACAGTGACCTACTGAGATGGGTTATTTTAACTCAGGGCTCATACCCAGAGTTAAATGGGCAACAGGCAACATGTTGTGTTCTGCAACACAGCATAGAACCATACAATCATTCAGGTTAGAAACAACTTCTGTGATCAGAGTGCAACCAACACTCAATCATCAACTGACACATGAAAGAGCTGTTGGAAGTTACAATTTCTGTCCAAACTGTACAAGGAGTTTGAGCAAGAAGCCCCTGTGCAGAGCCAGTGTATGCTGAATGTGAGGGACGTGGGATCTTGCTCCTGGCCATTCCAAGGCTGCTCCAAGCACCATCCCTGTGGTTCTCACACACAGACTCTGCCAGAGCTGCAAATCATTCTCTGCTTGTGTGTCACTACGAGGAGTCCAAACCCAGAAGGAATAAGCACTGGATTAAATTCTTCCCTGTGAGGGCAGGGAGTCCCTGGCACAGGTGCCCAGAGCAGCTGTGGTGCCCCTGGAGCCCTGGAAGTGCCTAAGGCCAGGTTGGACAGGGCTTGGAGCAGCCTGGGACAGGGGAAGGTTTCCCTGCCATGGCACCAGATGGGCTTTAAGGTCCCTTCCAATCAAATCCAATCCATGTTTCTATGGTCCTCTAAAATTCATCAGAACCCTTTATTGAAAGCTCTGAAACTACCTCTGAAATGATCTATTTCCCATGGCTCTCCCACCTCACTGATTCAAGAACCAAGTCACCCACACCCACCCCTTCCTTTAGTGTCAAAGCAAAACATAACCGTACTTGGGCAAAGTATAACCCGAACAATAAAGTGTCATTTAGAGGGGAGATCAAAGTTATCATAAACTTAGACCACTTGAAAATCTCCTCACAGCACCTCCTACTCCCCACGGCCGGGAGGAGCGCCGGCATGGGGGGGACACACTCCTGCGGCCCTTCCCTTGACATCTCACCAGGAAAGGGCGACGGAGTCTTAGACAAGGAAAAAAAAATCAGTAGAATGTCTCAGCTTCCGGAGGCAAGAGCAATGTAATGGGCGAGTCTTTGGAGCGGTTGCTGACAGGGAAAACGCACTCCTGCGGCACCGAGGTACCTGCGAGGGGCTCCGAGGTGGCCTCAACACGCCAGTCACCCGCTGCCCGGAGGAACCGAGGGACACAGCGGAGCCCGGGCCCGGCCGCAACCACGGCCAACATGGCGGCCGGCCGTGAGGGGACCGGTGGCCGCTCTCGGCCCCGCCCCGCGCGGCCGGACGCGCATGCGCAGCGCGGCGCGCGGCGCCCGGAGCGCCCGTGGGGCGGGGCTTACCTGGCAGAAAGCCCCGCCCACTTCTGGGAAAGCCAGCCGGCCGGGGCCGCGCCGGGGGCGGAGGCGGGGCAAAGAGCGCGCGGTGATTGGGCGCGGCGGGAGGAGGGGCGGGGCCACGCGGCGAGACGGAGCTGTGATTGGCTGTGCGGAGGAGGGGGCGGGGCCGCGGCTGGGTGCCGCCTGTCAGTGAGCGGGAGCTGCCGAGGAGGCCTGAGGGGCCGCGCCGGGCTGTGCCGGGCGAGCGGAGCGCAATCGGGCCGGGCTGGACCGGGCTGAGCCGCGCTGTGCCGGAGCGGTAGGTGCGGTACCGGCCACCGCCGCGGAGACGGGATCTGGGCCCGGGGTGCGGAGTTCGGTGTGGGAGCCGCGGGGTGCATCTGCCCGGTAGGGCCTGGCGGATCTTCCGCGGCTGCCGGCGGGAGCAGCGTGTGAGGAGCCCGGGCCCAGCCGGGGGGTCCGAGCGGTGATGGGCTCTCCGGGCCCCGCCGCAGCACCGCGGGTGGGTGTTCGGAGCGGGGATGTCACTGCTGACCGGCACCTTCTCCAGTCTGCGGCTCCGGTGCCCCGAGCTCCCGGTGCCCAGGGCAGCCCGGCTTTCTGATCTCCTGGTGCCCCTCAGCCCTCCGAGATCCCGGGCCCCCGCTGCAGGGACTTCGCTGATCCCTGGCAGGGATGAGCTCAGCTCATCACAGCACAACCGAGCCAGACCTTAATTCACCTGAACCATCCATACGAGCGTCTCTTTGACACAACTAAATGCCTCTTTTTTTTTTTTCTTTTACTTTTTTTTTTTTTTTTCTGGCAAAAGATTAATATGTTTCTTTGCTGATTAATAAGTTGCTGCTGTGGTTGATCTCAGATGCTTCCTGTCGGCTTTAACTGGTTACATTAGAAACATGTGTTGAGTGTTCTGCACACGTACAATACAGCAGTCTGAAACCAGCACCTATAAACAAAGTCTGAATTTCTTTTTCGACTGGCTTTCTAAACACTTGTATGAGTAATAATTCGCGCTTCTGTGCTGTGACATTAGTGATAAGGATAGTTGAATTGAGTGTGTCTGTGGTGAGCTGCTTTATTGCATTTTACCTCAGTTGAAATCTGTTATTGGCACGGCCACCGGATTCCTTGGGAATGAGTCACTTGCTATTAACTATTAAATTTTAACTGTATTAAGAGACTGAATCTTGTAGAGCCTGTGAAGGAGCATAACAAACAAACAACTGAAAACCTAAAGGATTTGTGGGACCTGATCCAACACCACTGGAGTTAATGAACTTGAAGTTAATGATCTGGCCTGAGTCTTCTTTCCATGTTAAATGGGAGAGGGTTGAGCTGAGCTGTTGTAGCAGTGATGAGGTGCTGAATTATTATTATAATTGCCAAGAGGATGGAGGCAAAGTGACCATAAATCAGCTTTCCTTCTGTAACTTTTGAACTTTGCTGGCAAATGTCTAATGTGTTGGTGGAGATAGAGGGATCGAGGCCTGGAGGACAGAAAGATTTCCAAGTTTTGAGATGAGCAGCTGGCTGGGAGTAAAAGAGCCCTGAGCTAGGAAGGAGTCTGGAGGTGCTGGGAGAGGGAGACTAGGATGCATGGAGGGACAGACACATGGGAATTGCGTCTGTGGGAGAGTGGGCTTTGCTGATCATGGTTTAGTGACATCAGGGCCCTGAAGAAAATGGACCATGACTTGCCTAAAGGCAGTTCTGTTCCACAGTTTGTGTGGGAGTTTGTCTCATGAGAGTCTGCTCAGGCTGGACAATTAGAAATCATCACTATCAGTTCATATTTGGATTTTATAGTCACAACTGAATTGGCAGGACCAATCATAAATTAAGATCATGTAGAACTGCTTCTATCTATACTAAATTTAATTGAACTTTTGGGTTGGTTTTGGCAGTAAGGCATCCCAGCCTTACTGTGTCCCCATAGATTTACATGGATTTTAGAAATATGATTGAAATGTAAAGCTGCAAAGCAGTGTAAAGTAACAACTGGTGACAGCCTGGCTCCACCTGCTTGTGCAGAATTGATTTTCAGGTGTGTCTGTGGTGGCTGGTGGAAGTTGTCCCTTTAGGTGCTTTAGTGTATCATTTTGTTGTAGTTCAGGAAGTGACTTCACGAGTGGGTTGTCAAAGCCATGATGTTGTTAAGTGGCCTGAGAGCTGTGTGAGAACAGCTGGGAAGCAAATCCTTATCAGGCTGAAGTTTGCTCTGATTATTTCTGTTCTCCGTGTTTACAAAGGGGTTGAGAAAAACTAGCCATTCTTTGAGTGAATGGGCTTGTGGCAGTGTTGGTAAACTCTGGGAAAATGGTGGTGTTCATATCTTTGTTCAGCAACATGAAAAGAATTGTTCAGGGGTGAGCTGTTCTTGGGCTGTCCTCGAGGAAATTAGGATAAAGGTGTGTTTGGGTGCTTGTAGAAATCTACTGATAATTAAACCCAGTCAAATGTTTCACTGCAGATTTTGTAACCAAGCTATTGCAATATCTTAATGTCTGGTAACTAAAAAAAACAACTGAGGCTCATTATCCTGATGTTTACAGTAAGCAACACCAGTGGCTGAAACAGGATTTGGGAGTATTTACTATCAAACCACTTTAAAGAACATGTTTACACACTGCCTATCGTTTGTAATGTGATGTGCTCCTACATAGGGCTGATAGTGCAGTGCTTCAAACAGGGAGTTTGTGGTGCTGTGGGGAGAAGGTTTTTAGCTTTCTCTGGTGCTTCTCAGGTGAATCTGTGGATCCCCAGGAGAGGGACCCGAGGGGATTGTGCAGGAGCCCCTGGAATGGCCAGATGGGTCACAGCAGTTATGGAAGGGGAGGTGAAGGCTGAGAGCTCCCTGGAATAGCAACTGCTGCTCTGACTCACCAGGATTTTAATCATTCAGGCATTCTATTTATTTTCACTTTGGAGCTCTTAGACACACAAGGGAAGTCTCTTCTTGTTTTTGGGGTTTTTTTTTGCCCCCCTTAGACATGTTCACTTAAAGCAGCATTAAGTATGCTTTGAGGTCGGGGGGCTGTTGAATGCTACTGGCTTTTTTAAGTCCCTTCTGACACAAACTGAAACTTGTCCTGCTGACAGCTCTGAGCAGTTTAAATCTCCACCCAGGCCTGGGCTACAGTAACAGGCCTTAAACTGTCTCGGCTAAAACCGGAACTGTTTGAATTTCAGTTCCATCTGAAACGTGGGCAGGCAGGGGAGCCCATGGGTGGCATCCAGGCAGAGAGGAGCCAGGGATGGAGGGCAGTGGTGCCCGGGCTCTGAAGGGCTTGTACAAATAATTATGGAATGGTTTGGGTTGGAAGGGACCTTAGAGTTCATCCAGTTCCACCCCCTGCCATGGACAGGGACACCTCCACTATCCCAAGTTTGCTCCAAGCCCTGTCCAACCTGGCCTTGAATCCTATACACACACACATATATATATATATGTGTGTGTGTGTGTGTGTTTATTTTTATATATCTAAAGTATGTATCTAAAATTTATATGTATGCATACATGCCTTTGGCCCCAAACCAGAATTTTAATGTGATCCATTCATGGAACAGGTGTCATTTTTTAATTTTCCTTTGGAAGAACCTGCTCTTTGACAAGGTTTGGTGGATTTGCACAAGGATTTTGCAGGTGTAGGTTCTTTTGGCTACAGACTTAGCACTTTCTGCCATGCTCACTGACAGCTGTTAGGACTGGAAGGTCCCCAAAAGGTGTGTGGCATTCTTCTCAGTTGACATTCCCTGCTCTAGTGATGCAGAAATTCCTGGCTCTTCCCAGCTGTTGCTTTGTTGTGGTGGTCAGCAAAGCAACATGGCTAAAAATGCTCCTTGTGTTTGACCAAACCAGCAGCAGCTGCAAAGGTAACTTGGCTTAGTGCTCTGTGCACAGAACTCCTCTCCATAAGGAAGTGGGAAACCTCACTGAAACAACATAATTTTTTACCTTCTTCTTTCCTTTCAGACTAAATGTCAGTGTGAAATTGCTGCTGAATGGGTACACTCAGATGAGAAGAAATCTCCATTCTATGAATTGACTTGGGAAAGAGCTTTAAAATATGTGTAAGACTTCCTAAGTCTTTTTTGATCAAATGTATGGGCTGATCCACAAAGCATTTACTGAAGTTCTCCCAAAAGCCATTGTCCATGGGGATTGGAACCAGGCACACCAGGCAGGAGGATCCCATATTATGGTGTGCTGTGGAGTGATGGAGCTGGAAAGGTGTTTGCATGGCTCTTGTCCAGCTCTGAGTTCCTCTCACAGCTTAATGACACACAGAAATGCTCTTTTAAGGTCCCTGCTCCAAACAGAGATGGAAGAGCTGAAGAGGAACTCGTATAGAGAAGGAGGGAGGAGGTTTTAAAGGAGCAGTAAGCACGTGGTTATCTCTTACATTAATAATGTTTGAGTATCTCATTAGTTCTGACTCCCTTCAAGTCTCAGGTGACCTTAGCTGGTATTTTAGTTTCTCCCACACCTTAGCTGAGGGAGGAGCTGCCATCAGAGCGGTGCCTTCACAACACAACTGAGACTGTTTGGCTTTCATTCTGTAAAAACACGCTTTCTGTTTTACAGCAGTGGGAACTAACATTAGTTAACCCAAGGTGAGTAAACTCGTAGTGAAGATAAGGAGCAAACAGGCTTTAAGCTGCTATCAAAAGCCCGTTGTGGGTTAGGAGTGCAATATCCACTCTTATCTCCTGCATCATTACCTGACTTCCCCTTTCTGCCTTGAAAATAACGAGCCCATCACATGTCCACAGAAGGAAGAAAGTCCAGGGTATGGAAATCAAGATTACAGCTGTATCTAAGTGGACTGGCTGAGGGAGAGGAGAAGCAGTTCTGGGTGGGACACAGCCACCCTGAAGCTCAGGAACACGAAGCTCCTGCTGCTGTTTGTCTGTGCCCTGTGTC